TATTTATTTTGAATGAATCCCTTAGTCATTTTAATATTGAATATTTATTTTGAATGAATATTTCAAAATAAATATTCAATATTTATTTATTTTGAATGAATTTATTTATTTTGAGTGAATCCCTTAGTCATTTTAATATTGTTATTCATACTTTTGAAATATAAAGTGTTTCAATTATGGTTACATACAATATTTTAAAATCCTATGTATAGTATGACTAGTACATTAAAATTATTTATGCTTAGATATTTTATCCAATATGAAAGAAAATTTACTACCAAATTATTACAGTGGATATTAGTATGATATGCTTACTAATTTAATCAGTAGAGATAATATTAGGGAAGCATGATTTTAGTATCTTTTGTTTCACTAAATTGGAATGCTGCTATTACAAGACAAATAAACAAGGGTGATGTGGCCACTCAAAAACTGTAATAGCTCTTCAGTTAGCCATGATGCAAGCTCAAATATATTCCACTATATTAACAAAGTCCTATTCCAATTGTTCATCAAAATGTTTTGGTGGAAATTGTCAGGCATATTCCAGTATAGATCTCCCATTCAATGGCTAGAAGATAAGAGAGCAGCAGAAATGAAAGAGGAACCTTACTTTGTGTTAAGGTGTAGTCTGGATTGAAGAGATGACCCAGGCAGGCTTTGTGTGAGTAGTGAGGCTGTTTATTCACTTGGGCGCGAGCTCACATAAAGCCTGCTTGGGTCGTCTCTTCAATCCAGACTGCGCTGTAACACACATTTGATGCCGAAACCTGGGATAGGGGAACTCCTTTGGGAGTCGTGTCCCCTAACCCCATCCCCCGACTTCTTGAAGAGACCCGGTCGCGACCTCGGTACCTTGGACTGGCTCTGTAAAAGCCCCACCTCTGCCTTCGAATCGGTAAGAGACCTCCGTCCTTTCTCAAACTTTCCTTTTCTTAAAGAGAGAGCAGAGGACACTCGCTGTCTGTGTTTCCTAAATCTAACATTGGTCATGGATTATCTCCGGGAAGATAGTCTTCCCTAGGTGAGTGGTCAACCACAGGGACGTGCGTCTTGGTCACTCATCCACTGCACAACTCAGGACTCCAGTTGGGGACACCTGCTGAAGGTCCTTGTGGTTGCTCTCCTCCTAATTTCTCTCTCTCTGTCTCTCTGTTTCTTTAGTCCTCCACAGTCCATCATGGGCAACCTTCCGCCCTCCATTCCTCCTCCTCCTCCCTTGGCCTGTGCCCTTAAGAATCTAAAACCCCTGTGTCTTTCACCTGATCTGGAACCTAAACATCTCATTTTCTTCTGTAATATGACGTGGCCCCAATATAAATTAGACAGTGGCTCTCAGTGGCTGGAAAACGGCACTTTCAATTTCTCTGTTTTGCAGGACTTAGACAACTTTTGTCACAAAATGGGCAAATGGTTTGAGGTTCCATACATCCAGGCATGTTTTACACTTCTGTCCCTCCCCAGCCCTTGTTCCCAATGTGATTCATCTCAAATTCTCCTTCTGTCCTTCCTGTCTGCTCCCCTACCACCCTCTGGCGACAGCGAGTCCTCCCTGTCCACAAACCCTTCCGATATTTCTCCTTCCTGCCCGTCCAACTCCGGTCCCAACCCTTCTCCAGACCCCAGTCCCCCTTGTACCCATACTGCGCCTCCCTATATCCCTTCTGTCCCCACTCCGCCCTATACCCGATCTGGCTTACAATTTGGTCCCACTTCTAATCCCCCTCCTCCCACCCCTCTCTTTCCCTTTTGAGAGGTGGCTGGAGCTGAAGGAATAGTCTGAGTTCATGTTTCTTTCTCCCTGTCTGACCTGTCTCAGGTCAGCCAGTGTTTAGGTTCTTTTCCATCAGACTCCACTAAATATATCTAGGAATTTCAATATTTAACTCAGTCTTATAACCTCACCTGGAGTGACTTAAATGTCATCCTCACTTCTACACTCACTCCCGAAGGGAGCGAGTTTGGGCCCTAGCTCAGTCCTATGCAGATGACCACTGGCGCCTTGAACTAGGTCTCCAGGAAGATGCCAGGGAGGTCCCCCGTGAAGAGCCCCAGTGGAACTATCAAACAGGATCTCCTGGTACGGCCAGGCGAGATTATATGATCACTTGCTTAGTAGAGGGACTCCAAAAAGCTGCATATAAGGCAGTCATTATGATAAGTTAAACCACTCAGGGCAAGGATGAAAATCCAGCCCAGTTTATGGCCTGTCTGACTGCCACTCTCAGACGGTATACAGCTTTAGACCCTGAAGGGCCAGAAGGCCAACTTATTCTTAATGTGCATTTTATTACCCAGTCAGCTCCCGATGTTAAAAAAAAAACTTCAAAAATTAGAATCTGGCCCTCAAATCCCACAACAGGATTTAATTAACCTTACCTTTAAGGTATTCAGTAACAGGGAAGAGGCTATCCGGTGGCAGCGTATTTCTGAATTACAGATGCTTGCCTCCGCTGTTAGATGAACCCCAGCCACACCAATGGCCCGTAGGGATTTCAAGGCGTCCAGATCGCAGCGCCCAGCAGCCCCTCCAGGGCCATGCTTCAAGTGCCATAAAAATGGCCACTGGGACAAGGAATGCCTGCAGCCTGGGATACCTCTTAAGTCATGCCCTGTTTGTGCTGGCCCTCACTGGAAGTCAGACTGTCCAACTCAAGCTGCCATCCCTAGAGCTCCTGGAGCTCAACCCCACAGCCGCCTGGCTGACTCCTTCCCTGATGTCATCGGCTTGGTGGCTGAGGAATAACACTGCCCGAACACCTCAAAGGCCCCCGGACCATCATGGACCTCAGGTAACTCTTAAGGTGGAGAGTAAGTCCATCCCCTTTTTGATTGATATGGGGGCCACCCACTCCACCCTTCCCTCCTTTCAAGGACCTGTCTCCTTAGCCTCCATGACTGCTGTTGTGGGAATTGACGGCAAAGCCTCCAGACCTCTCCAGATTCCACTGGTGTGGTGTCAACTAGGTCAGCACTCCTTTTTGCACTCCTTCCTAGTCATCCCCACTTGTCCATTCCCTCTGCTCAGCCGAGACATCCTAACAAAACTGTCTGCCTCCCTCACTATTCCTGGGCTACAGCCACATCTCCTTGCCAGCCTTCTCCCCAACCCCTCATCAACCCCACAAGCTCCTCTAATGTCTCCCTTCCTTAGCCCCAAGGTCTGGGATATCACCTCTCCCTCCCTTGCTACAGATCACTCCCGCCTCGTCATCCCTTTGAAGCCAAACTATTCTCACCCTGCCCAATGCCAGTACCCTATCCCTATGCCACCCCTAAAAGGCCTAAAGCCTTTTTACCTGCTTTTTACAACGTGGCATCTTAGTACCTGTTAACTCTGCCATCCTTCCCTTTCAAAAACCAGACAAGTCCTACAGATTAGTTCGAGACCTTTGTCTCATCAGTCAGATTGTACTTTCCATCCATCCTATAGTGTCAAACTCATATGCTCTCTTGTCCAAAGTACCTCCCTCCACTACCTATTATTCCGTTCTCAACCTAAAAGATGCCTTCTACACCATTCCCCTACACCCCTCCTCTCAACCTCTTTTTGCCTTCACCTGGACTGACCCTGACACCCATTAGTCCCAACAACTAAGCTGGACCATTCTTCCCAGGGCTTCCGGGATAGCCCTCATTATTTTAGCCAAGCCCTTGCCTGCAACCTACTCTCTTTTCAGCCTTCCTTTTCCTACCTCATCTGATATGTTGATGATCTTCTCTGCAGTCCCTCCTAGGAATCCTCCCAACAGAATATCCTCCTACTCCTTCAGCATTTAGACTCTAAAGGGTACCGAATGTCCCCTCATCAATATTTATACTGATTCCAAGTATGCTTTCCACATCCTTCATCACAATGCTGCCATCTGGGCGGAAAGAGGTTTTCTCACCACACAAGGGTCTTCCATTATCAATGCCTTTATCATAAATTTCCTCCTTAAGGCTGCTCTCCTGCCTGCCAAGGCTGGAGTTGTGTCCACTGCAGAGGACACCAAAAACCGACAGACCCTGTCGCTAAAGCAAATGCCCATGCCAATAAAACAGCAAAAGAGGTGGCAAACGCCTCAGTGTCTGCAGACGTTCCAGTCTCTGCTCCAAAAGGCCAGTACGTTTCTTTCTCATCTATCATCCCTACCTACTCTTGTTCTGAAAGCCTGCTCTACTTGTCCTTTCCAACTCACAAGGCAAGTGGTTCTTAGATCACAGAAAGTTCCTTCTTCCTGCCTCAGAAGTGCAATCTATTCTCTCATCCCTCCATGACTGCTTGCGTGTAGGGTACAAGCCTTTGGCTCACCTCCTAGAGCCCCTTATTTATTTCTCATCGTGGAAGTCCATCCTTAAAGCAATCACCTCTCAATGTTCCAACTGCCACTCCACCAATCCCCAAGGTTTTCTTAGGCCCCCCTCCTTTCACAACACATCGGGCCCGAGGGTTTACTACTACACAAGATTGGCAAATTGACTTCACTCATATGCCTCATGTCAAAAAATATAAGTACCTCCTAGTTTGGGTTGATACCTTCGCCAGATGGGTCGTGGCTTTCCCTACTGGATCTGAAAAGGCTGCAGCAGTTATTACTTCTCTTCTAACAGATATTATTCTCTGTTTCGGCCTCCCTACTTCCATCCAGTCTGACAATGGTCCAGCTTTCATTAGCCAAATCACCCATGCAGTTTCCCAGGCCCTTGGCATCCAGTGGAATTTCCACACCCCATACCATCCTCATTCCTTAGGAAAGATTGAAAGAGCCAGCAGCCTCTTAAAAACTCACCCTCCAGCTCCGAAAGGACTGGACTGTTCTCCTACCACTTGTGCTCCTCCATATCTGAGCCACCGCCCATGAACCTACCGGGCATAGCCCATTCGAACTCTTATATGGTAGTACTTTTCTACTCGGGCCCAACCTCATCCCAGACACCAGTCCTCTTGGGGACTATTTACCCAGTCCTCCAACAGGCTGGGAATGAAATCCGTCAGGTGCTAACCCACCCCAGATACCATATGAGGACACTCTGGCTGGACAGCCCATCCTGATAAAGAGCTGAACCCCCCGATTTCTACAACCTCAGTGGACAGGACCCTTCCTGGTCATTTATAGCACCCCAACAGCTGTCCGCTTACAAGATCCTCCTCAGTGGATTCATCCTTCCAGAGTAAAGCTGTGTCCATCTGACACTCAGCCTGACCCTTCTTCCTCCTCTTGGAAGTTGCAAGTACTCTCCTTGACCTCGTTAAAACTCACCCGAATCCCTGAAGAAACTTAAATGTCCTGCTCCTGTCCACCCTGCTGCTTCACCCTCTTCCTCCACTCTATTTGCTAAGACATGTCCTGGTTTCATCCCCAAACTCCCACCTTAGATTCTCTCTTAAACCAGATAGATGATCTCATCTTTTAGGGCACCCTGTATGACTTCTCCCCAGATGAGACGCCTCTATTTACCTTCCTACTCACTTTATCTATCCCTCCTGCTCCTTTGGCTGCCCCGCATGGCCGCACGCCCACTTCCAGTAATGCCTAATTACCTCTACAAAACTCTCAACCCACTTTCTGTTAAACCAGTCCAATCCTTCTTTGGCAAAGGACTGCTGGCTTTGCATTTCTCTATCAGCTACCACTTACGTTGCCACTCCCATTCCCACAAAAAACTGGGTAGTTACTAACTTAACCTACCACCCTCGTTATGAAGGAAAAAGCCCTTTCCAACTCCTAAATATGCAGTCATTGGCCGACTTCTCCATCAATGAAATGACCAAAAATACCCCGACAGGACATGCAGTTCAACTTTTAGGCTCCTACATGTCTAGCCTCACCCATTACACAAGAAATGAAAAACCCATACACGGCCCTGTGACTACAAACACTGTCTTAACTTTCCAAGCCCCTTTATGCATCCAACACAACCTGTCATCAGGCCTACCCCTAGGTCACCTCCTGTTCCATCAGTGCAACTACACCTCGCAGCTTCAAGCCCCATCTGACTACATTAACTTCCAGGTCTCCCAAACGGCTACATTCAAGCAGCCTGTCCACTTCTCAAAGCCCCCGGAAGTCATCAGCACCTCCCTGCTTAACAAACAATCCGGGTTTTGTAATGGCAGGCATACACACTGCATGAGCGACCATTCACCCCTGGACCCCCTGCAGCAGCACTCCCACCACTGACAAATGCCTCCTTTCCCCGCTTTCAGCTACCCTTCTGAGTGGCTTCTAGTAGATACAAAATGATTTTTCCACCAATGGGAAAATAAAACAGGGAGCCACTCAGCTTATCCCAAACATCCCTTTTCAACCACTCACGGGGGCCACCTTGGCAAGTACCCTAGGGGTGTGAGAAAATGAAAACAACAAATTCACACACCTTTTTAACATACACAGACAGTTCTGCCTACCCAGCCAAGGCATATTCTTCTTGTGTGGAACTTCAACCTATGTCTGCCTCCCCACTAACTGGACAGACACCTGTACCCTAGTCTTCCTAAGCCCCAAAATTGACATTGCCCTTGGAAACCAAACCTTACCAGTCCCTGTCAGAGCCCATGTCCATCAGTGTAGGGCCGTGCAGATAATACCCTTGCTTATAGGACTAGGAATTACCAATGCCACAGGAACAGGAATAGCAGGTTTGTCCCCTTCCCTGTCCTACTATTGTACACTCTCAAAGGATCTCTCAGCCTCCAAGACATAGTAAAATCCACCCTTACTCTCCAATCCCCAATAGACTCCTTAGCAGCAGTAACTTTCCAGAACCACTGTGGCTTAGACCTCCTAACCGCCGAAAAAGGTGGTCTCTGCACCTTTTTAGGGGACGATTGTTGTTTTTACACCAACCAGTCTGGACTAGTACGAGATGCTGCCCAGCGGTTAAATGAAAAGTCTTCTAAAATCAGGCAACGTCTTTCAGACTCTTAACACCAATCTTTGGAGCTGGGCATTGTGGCTTCTCCCTAAAGCTTGGCCCCTCATTTCCATCATTCTCCTTCTCCTGTTCAGACCCTGTCTCTTCTGACTAGCCTCTCAGTTCCTACAAAATCTCATTCAAGCTGTTACCAGTCAATCTATGCGGCAAATGCTAGTCCTAACTGCCCCTGAATGTCACCCCAACCCCAAGATCTCTCTCCCGATTAGGAGTCCATGCCACCCCAAGTCCCGCTTGAAGAATCCCTGAGAAACATCTCTGCATCCACTTCTTTTCTTATTAAAACAAAAAGACAGTAATGTCATATCCCAAAAATACGGCTGCACTACTGCCAGCAGGCCATTATTACAGTGGGCCATTAAGAACTCTGTGAACGGCACATATGCCTCCAGACTTCCTGGAACCAGAAAACCTGCAACAACCAAAAACCACAAAAGAAGAACAGCGGGTTCCTGTCCCAACTGGTCGATCAACTTCTTGAGTCAACAAGTGCCAAAACTGTGTTGTAATTTTCCACCCGCCACTTTGCCCTATAAAGACTGCTCTCCCTCACGCCTCCGGGCTGACTCCCTTTTCAGACTCAGCCCACTAGCACCCAAGTGAATAAACAGCCTTGTTGCTCACACAAAATCTGCTTGGGTCTTCAATCCAGACCACGCTGTAACACACACTTACAAAATTCTGCTGAGAATATGCCCGCCTTTATTCTTTATGCTCATGTTTCTCATACTGAGGGTAGCTGTACACTTTGGGTTTTTACAGAGAAATGTGTTTTAGGGGAATATTTTCTGACTGACTTGTTCAATCATCTAATCTGAGTTTTTTTCTAAAGATGCTTTTATCTTTTTTTTTTTCTCTCAATATAATCATTTTCAGCTGTTTTTCTCTTGAATGCATTGGGTGTCTGTTTTGGAAGCCCTATTACTATCCCATGGTGTCTGTGAATGAGGTGGGCTGTCACAGTGAGAACTCTTGGAGCTATCTCTATATGGACTCTTGCTGGAAATCTAGCAGAGTGATTTCCATGTCACCATTATAAATAAAAAACTGAGGTTTAAATACTGCACCTATTCCCATTATTGTGAAGGTGCAGTTCTACCCAGGAGTGCTGCAGGCTTTCCTCCTGCAACTCAGGCTTCACTCTCTGATGTGGCATTGAAGTGCTGCTGTGGCAGTTGGGGTTATATATAGGGTGCCAGGTGTGAGCTCTGTGCTATGGACTCTGCCTCAGTGGCAGATGGTAGGAGTCAAGAGAGGACACAAGCCACCAGGAGATGGCAGGCAGGAGGCACCTGGCTTTAAGTTGCAGAATTACCTCTTGTCATGAAGATGTGAAAAGTTTATTTTGTCATTGATTATAACCAATTAGCATATATGGATGGCCTTCCCAATTACCAGGTGAATTTAGGGTGAACTATGTATGACATGTGCTGTAAATTTTTCTACTTGTGGACTAATTATTGTGACTGTCTTTCTGTCTTTGCAATCTCTTAAGCAGATTGACTGTGATACATGTCACATTCTGGTTTAATTGTGTAATAAAATGGTTTTCTTTCTGTTCTGTCATTGTGGAGTTACTCTGGAGCTGGACAAAATTTTTCTTTTAGTTATATTTTCCAAACACTGTCTAGAATTGTTACACATCATATAAACATATAAGGTGCCAACCAAGTTTTAACCTAGAGGAGGCTTTTCCTTTCAGGCTTTCAGTCAACTCACGATTGTGCTGCAAAATGCATGCTGTCCCCTAAATATGCAGGCAGAATTGTGTCTCTGCCTCTTTGGTGTTATAGTCCTCTACAGTCACCTCTAGAGAGGCTAGGCCAGATTTCTACATACTTCACAGGGCAGCGATTAACCATTTTACCTCTTTAAATGACTCTTGTATCTTTAGACCAGAAGCTGATTTCAGAGACCATGGGGCCCAGAAACCCAGAGTAACGTGTGTGCATTAAGTAGACATGATAATCTCCATTTTTTTCCCTTCCTCCTCTTCTTTTTTTTCTTTTTTTTTTTTTTTTTTTTGAGACGAAGTCTGGCTCTGTCGCCCGGGCTGGAGTGCAGTGGCCAGATCTCAGCTCACTGCAAGCTCCGTCCCCCCGAGTTTACGCCATTCTCCTGCCTCAGCCTCCCGAGTAGCTGGGACTACAGGCGCCCGCCGCCTCGCCCGGCTAGTTTTTTGTATTTTTTTAGTAGAGACGGGGTTTCACCGTGTTCGCCAGGATGGTCTCACTCTGTTGCCCAGACTGGAGTGCAATGGCATGATCTCGGCTCACTGCAACCTCCACTTTCTGGGTTCAAATGATTCTCCTGCCTCAGCCTCCTGAGTAGCTGGGATTACAAGCGTGCACCAAGACGCCCAGCTAATTTTTGTATGTTTAGTGGAAGTGGGGGGGGTTTCACCATGTTGGCCAGGCTGGTCTCAAACTCGTGACCTCAGGTGATCGGCCTGCCTCGGCCTCCCAAAGTGCTGGGGTTACAGGTATAAGCCACCACACCCAACCCCTTCTTCCTCTTCTTAAAATACCCACAAATGTGTGGATGACACCTACTGCTACTGCACCCACCTAGGAACTAAATTTGCAGCTCCAAATTCTGAATCAGGGACTTAAGATTTGGGAAAAAAGAAAACCTTTTATTTGAGAAATGCAAATTCTTTTAGTTACAAGGTTCAGATACATTAAAATAATACCACAATTATGTATTTCTCTGTTCTTTGAGCTATGAATTTATCTCTTGAAACTGCTTGCTATTGCCACAAGTAGCTGTAAATTTAAATTAATAATGACACACTGGATCCTGTAACCCACACCCTATAGCTTAACAATGTATATCCAATCGATAATCAATGTTTTTTTTTTGTAAACAAATGAGAGTTTCTGACAGGCAACTTTGTATCAGCCCACTCTCTGTCCCTCTCTTTTTGCCTTTACAAATCCACTTGTAACTGCGCTAATCAAAGTGTAGATTCCTGGCAACTTGAATCTTTGATCCCTGGTTACAATTCCCAATCTTGGCCCAAATAAATTCTCTACTTATATTCATGTAGCTTCAGCTTTTTCCTTTCAAGTAGATGTATTATTTAGAATGTGCTAGAGCAGCCCCTATGAGGCAATCTCTCCTTTGGTTGTACTCTACTTGCTGTAACACCCAAGAATGCAGAAGCAGGCTGATCCCACCTAGAATCTGTAAGGTCTGGCCTCTACCTGGAATTTACAAGACAGGGCCAGACTCTGGATTGAGAATGTATAGGAAACCAACAGGAGGCATTTTCTGCATTGTGAGATGTCAACATAGACGTCTTAAAGCTTCCCTTTGAGAGTGTTGCTCTTAAAACTTTTCAGATCGTGTTCAGTGACTTGCTACAGTTATGTGAGAGGGTCCAGGTGTAAATAGAATCTGATGACAGATTCTGTAAGAGTAAACAAGCATCTTAGGGGTGAGAGATGAAGGCCACAAAGTATTGAGAGTCATGATCACAATTATACCTACCCATAAAACGTAATACTGGAGTAGAGTATTTTTGTCTTTCCTTTTGCCCAAGAGCTAGCTAATCAGGACCCGTAATCTGGAGCTCCACTGCGGCAGTTCGATTTTCTATTTAGAATCAGCCTGAGTCTCTCCTGCCTGCCTTATCCTTGGGCCATCAGCCCAGGGTCACTGGGAACTCTCTTACAATCACCTAGGCATCTTTGAGATATTTGAGGATGTCCAGAGCAGAATTGTGTCAGGTTGACAAGAGTGGTTAATTGTGCCTCTGTCTCAGTGTAAGAGAAATGAGTCATCCTGTGTTTGCTCCTCCCCTCATACAAGAGATGTCTTTGGTTGGTATCTAGTTGAGAGTTTTCCAGTTTCCTGGTAGTTGGGTAAAAAACAAGGAGGAGGTCTGGAGACTCAAGCAGATAAACTAATTGCTACCATTTCATATGGCCATTAGAAAAATAGATAAAGCAGTCATGGTCCCTACCATCTAGGAACAGTTAGTCTAGACTAGCAAGTGAATACATGGTTGAATTAAGCATCATATGGTTGGCAAAGTGAATAGATGTGTGGAAAAACGTGTGGGCTTTATTTGGGCCACTTTCTTTATATTGTTGTGACTTCTGAGGTCATCATTTGAATGAATGTTTATGGACCCAAGAGTTTTAAATATTTTTATTTCTTTTACTTTGCTAAGAATGCGTATTTATCTTAAAATTACCCTAGAAAACCCTAGGAGATTTGTTTAAATGGCTAATTAGTATATTTATACAGTTGATGGGGTGAGCAGAGTAATATATAGGGTTTACTCCCAGCTCCAGTTCTGTTCAGATTCACCATTTTTGGAGGCCTTATTTAGGTCTGGCCCCACCCTGGAGTCTTGCCTCACAGAACTGATAAGAAGAGAACAGAGTTTTGGCTGGTGCCTTTCTAGAGTGGGTGCTAACAATTTCCGAATTCCACAAGGAGATAAATGGGAAAAAAAAGAAGCAATTTAAAAGCCCAAATTTTAAAAATTTTTTATTAAACCAGTGCTTGCAGAGACATTCCATTTAGCAACATGTTTTCTATTCCTGCGGATCCAGTAGTTTCCCACAAGTCACAAAACAGTAAATATAAACACAATGAAAATTTCTCTAAACCATGTTAAACTGTTCTTATCTGTAGCCCTCTCATCTGTCTGTATTTAGCATACTTTTTTTATTCTATACATTTTTTTATTTTTTGAGACAGAGTCTCACTCTGTTGCCAGACTGGAGTGCAGTGGAGTGATCTCAGCTCACTTCAACCTCTGCCTCCTGGGTTCAAGCAATTCTCCTGCCTCAGCCTCCCGAGTAGCTGGGATTACAGGCATGCGCCACCACAACTGGCTAAATTTTGTATTTTTAGTAGAGACAGGGTTTCTCCATGTTGATCAGGCTGGTCTTGAACTCCCAATTTCTGGTGATCTGCCTCTGCCTCCTAAAGTGCTGGGATTACAGGCGTGAGCCACCATGCTCGGCCTAATTTTTATATTTTCAGTAGAGACGGAGTTTCACCATGTTGGCCAGGATGGTCTCGATTTCTTGACCTCGTGATTTGCCCACCTTGCCCTCCCAAAGTGCTGGGATTACAGGCATGAACCACCATACCCGGCTATCCTATACATTTAAAAAAAATTCAGTGACAGCTCATGGCCACTTGGTAAGTGTGTGTGTGTTTGTGTTTTTCAGGAACCATTGACATTTAAAGATGTGGCCATAGAATTCTCTCTGGAGGAGTGGCAATGCCTGGATACTGCACAGCGGGATTTATATAGGAATGTGTTGTTAGAGAACTACAGAAACCTGGTCTTTTTGGGTGAGGATAACTTTAATACACAATTCCTAAAATACCCTTAAAGTTTTATTTCTCTATTTTTGTACACTGTTTTCTGGTAATTTATGCTTTGCATAAATGAGTTTCAGATCTCTGTTTTCAAGAAAATCTTTGAGATTTGTGTAGAAAATAATTCCTTCAAGATGTTTCATTTTGACCTGAGCTTTTCACATTAGTGAGCTAATCTGTATTTTTCACTCTAGATTAGTGATAATTCCAGAAATTTAGTGGCATGCAATATTGTTGTCCATGCCTTTAAATCTAATTTCTGACACCAATTTTTGATTCAATAGTACCAGATAGTAAAATTTAAAACCTACACAGTTAAAATATTTTCTAAATATTTAGAAATTTATGTTATAAATTAGTATTTATTCTATTACATCCTCTTTACTGAGCACCTTACTGGATTGATAATTGGAGAATATGATTAAGATTCATGTTATTTATTTTTAATAAAACAGGTATTGCTGTCTCTAAGCCATATCTAATCACCTGTCTGGAGCAAAAAAAAGAGCCCTGGAATATAAAAAGACATGAGATGGTAGCCAGGCCCCCAGGTAGGTGAGAGTGAAAGTGAATACAACAGATGACAAAGATTAAAGGTCAAAGAAAAAGCCAGTCCTTAACATGTGATTTGGGTAGCTGTATTCCAAAGGAAATACTTTCTGGAAACCTGAGTGTTTTTTTTTTCTTTTGCTCTTACATAGGGGCGTCTTCTGTCTTATGCTTTTAAATTCTCTAAGGATTCTGCTTTCCCTTCAGTGATCTTCCTTCAAGTTCACAGTGAGAGCCAAAGTTCTTTTCATGGCATATAAGAGACTGCACAATCTGACTCTTTTGTTTTGGGGGACACATATATCTGCATAATTTTGAAAACCTCTATGTTAAACTGTTTTTTAAGTTTATTTTTTGCATCATATCTGAAATGTGTGAGTAGTGGTTTCTGTTCCATTGGGTTTTAAAAAATTTATTTGTTCACTTTTCTGCACATTCCATTCTGTTTTTATTACTATAGTCTTGAAATATAGTTTGAAATTGTAAACTATGATGTTCTTCTGCTTTTTTCTTTTTTTCACAAAATTGCTTTGGCTCTTCAAAGCTTATTGTAGTTTCATGTAAATTTTAGAATTATATTTTTCATTACTGTAAAAATAATGCCACTGGACTTTCAATAGGGAGTTTATTGAATCTATAGATCACTTTGGAAAACATGGCACTTTATCAATATTTACTGCTTCAATCCATATTCATAAAATATTTTAAAATTTATTTGTGTCTTTAATATCTTTCATTGTAAATTTTATTTACCTCCTTGGTTTAATTTGTTCTCAAGAATATATTATTTTAATGCTATTGTAAATAGCATTGTTTTCTTCCTCTGTTTTATCAGATAGTTTGTTTTGAGTGGATGGAACCATAATTTATACTTGTATGTTAATTTTATATTTTGGTAATTTACTAAGTATATTTATCAGTTTTGATGGGTTTTAATGTATACTGTTTATGGTTTTGTATATGTAAGATTATATGATCTGCAAACAGCAACTTTTTACTTGTCTTCAATTTCAATGTTGTTTTATTTTATTTTATGTTAATTTATTTATTTTTGAGACAGAGTCTTGCTGTGTCGCCCAGGCTGGAGTGCAGTGGCGCTATCTCGGCTCACTGCAAACTACGCCTCCTGGATTCACACCATTCTCCTGCCTCAGCCTCCCGAGTAGCTGGGACTACAGGTGCCCACTACCATGCCCAGCTAATTTTTTGTATTTTTAGTAGAGATGGGGTTTCACCATGTTGGCCAGGATGGTCTCGATCTCCTGACCTCATGATCCACCCGTCTTGGCCTCCCAAAGTGCTGGGATTACAGGCGTGAGCCACCGTGCGTGGCTGCTTTTTTTTTTTTTTTAAACTAATTCTTTTGCCACATACTTTCAGTGCTATGATAAAAGCATTGACAATGGGTACAATATAGTTTTGCACTGCTGTCTGTGAATTTGAAAGAGCAAAAACCTCTTTAAGTTTTTATAAACTAATTTTAGGAGGTAAAGATCTTCTTTTGTTGAGCCCCCAGGTGACGGGATGCCCTCTGGGTTTGTAGTGGAGAGGGGTTGTAGCTTAGTCACAAGGATGCTGGGTCTGCACTAGGGTCCACCGTTATTAGCTTGTTACTAGAAGCTTGGGTAGTTTTAATTCCCATTTTAGTTTTGGATAGGCTGAATGTCCTTCAGGACGTTGCTCTGTAGGGCAGATATTAGGGCATGTTTTTGCAGTTGGGTCTGCATATGGTGGGCCTCATATCAGGATGTGGATGAGTATGGCTTTCACTGAATACCAGCGAGGATTTTTCCAGGTCACTGTGTGGGTTTTTTGTTTGTTTTTTTGAGATGGAGTTTCGCTTTTGTTGCCCAGGCTGCAGTGGCGTGATCTCGGCTTACTGCAACCTCCGCCTCCCAGGTTCAAGCGATTCTTGTGCTTCAGTCTCCCAAGTAGCTGGGATTACAGGCCCCTGCCACCATGCCTGGCTAATTTTGTATTTTTAATAGAGACAGAGTTTTACCATGTTGGTCTGGCTGGTCTCGAACTCCTGACCTCAGGTGATCCACCTGTCTCTGCCTCCCAAAGTGCTGAGATTATAGGCGTGAGCCACCACGCCCAGCCACTGTGTGGGTTTCTATGTCTACAGGCGACCATGAACTGGATCAGGGAGCTGGAACTGAGTCATTGAACTGTTTCAGGGACCACAGTAAAGGCCAAGGTCTGCAGGCCTGCCTGCATGGCTACAAGGGTTGTTCTCCTCTCAGGCCTCTAGAAGAGACAAGACCTCTCGCAGAATGTGACTAGGAGAAATTTGAGGTGATGACAGAGTAAGTTCAGAATTCTTAGTCGGATTAAGTTGGGAGGGCCATTTCCTAGTCTGTAGCCAAGTACAGGGGTCTTGTAGTTTGCCTCCTGAATGAGGGCCCACCTTCTGAAAAGGAACACTTCTCAATCTTTGGCTCTAGCAGTTTCATAACTCCCTCCCTGCATCTCGGAGCTCTCTTAAAGGCACTTATTTTTTATGTATTTATTTATTTTCTATTTTTTTGTTTGTTTGTTTATTTTTAAAGGCACTTATTTTTTAGATGGGTTCTTGCTTTATAACCGAGGCTGGTCTTTAAATTCTGGTCTGACGCAATTCTTCAACCTGAATATACCATGTAGCTGTCATCACAGGTGTGATACATGATGCCTGGCTCTCTCATAAACACATTTTTTTTTTGGTCAGAGATAGCTGATAAATGTTTTTGCTGTTGGGGTATAAGAAAATAGGGCACCTTTTATTTTTCCATCTTACTGATGTTACTCTCTGTATACATTTTTGTTTTTTATTTCCTACTTTAAATTTGTCTGTAACTTTAGATTCAGACATTTAGGACATGTTAGAATTTACGTGTTATGCTTGAAATAAATTAAATAATTAGTAGGCATTCCATATTTACTAAAATAGTTACTTACAAATTTGAGCTGTCGGTATAAACAAATCATAGGATTTTCACCCACTTTCTTCAGCCTATATCTAAGTAATAGCATAATTTATTCTCAAATACTTCTTTTATATATTAGAGACTCTAACCATATTCTGTGTGCGCGCACACACACACATACTTACACATATAAATATATATTACATATACAAATATATACATACACATTCTTATTTTCTCTTTATTTAGCAGTGTAAGGGTATTCTTTGCTTCTAAAATCAGATTACAGAAGTTTTATTTTGTGTAAGAATAGCATATATTTTAAATATCAGAATTATCTCCACTTCCTTTTAAATGCTCATTTATTAAAATTTTCTCATTAGCATTTTCTATTTATGATTATACTGCATTTTCTCTGAACTTTTACTGCCACACGACACATGCCATTGATTCAAAATACCTGTCTTCCATGAGTACACAGTTAAATATTGCAGTTATCTAGACAAATTCTTTCTTAATGGTACATCAATGTTGCAAAAAAGATTTCATGAATAAACATTTCTCTTATTGTTTTGTAGTTCCATATTAGTGTGGTTTTTCAGTGTAGGTTTCTTAACATCAGATTATTGGTGTTTTGTTTTACTTACATAATTTTAAACAATTTGCAATTCTGTTTGTACACTTTTAAGTCAATATGGGGTTTAAAAAATAAATTAGCCATATGTCTATTACAATCAGATTATATATGTGTGTTTTATCTATAAATATGACCCAAATTTTGGTTATGGCTTATCTTGTTTATATTCTTTCTTAGCTGATTTTTTTTTTTTTTTTTTTTTTTTGAGACGGAGTCTCGCTCTGTCGCCCAGGCTGGAGTGCAGTGGCCGGATCTCAGCTCACTGCAAGCTCCGCCTCCCGGGTTCACGCCATTCTCCTGCCTCAGCCTCCCCAGTAGCTGGGACTACAGGCGCCCGCCACCTCGCCCGGCTAGTTTTTTTTTTGTATTTTTTAGTAGAGACGGGGTTTCACCGTGTTAGCCAGGATGATCTCGATCTCCTGACCTCGTGATCCACCCGTCTCGGCCTCCCAAAGTGCTGGGATTACAGGCTTGAGCCACCACGCCCGGCTCTTAGCTGATTTTAAATGGTTGTTTTGTCTAAGTAGTCATGGAAATCATCTTTTTTCACTGTGTGTTTAATGATGAATTTATATTTCCTTTGTGTGAGAGAAACACTTTTGTGATTTGAGGCAATTTTTGAAAAGATTTATAATTCTATATTTTTTTCAGTTTTTCTTTAAAATATTGTTGTAAAAACCCATTATATAAAATATACAGTTTTAAATCTATTGAAGTGTCATTGTTTTGAGACAGGATCTTACTCTGTCACCCATGCTAGAGTGCAGTGGCATGACTGGCTTACTGCAGCCTCAGCTTCCTGGGCTCAAGTGATTCTTCCACCTCAGTTTCCTGAGTAGCTGGGACTACAGACATACTATGGGACCACCATGACTGGATAATATTTTGATTATTTGTTGGAACAGGGCCTCATTAAGTTGTCCATGCTGGTCTCAAACTTCTGGCCCAGTAATCCTCCCACCTTGGTCTCATGAGCCCCTGCAGTTCACTGGTATTTTTAAATTTCATAAGACTTGGTATGATTCCTAACAGAATACACCAGATGCAAATAAGAATATTGTACATTTTGGGCCAGGTGTGGTGGCTCACGCCTGTAATCCCAGCACTTTGGGAGACCAAGGCAGGCGGATCATGAGGTCAGGAGATCGAGACCATCCTGGCTAACATGGTGAAACCCCGTCTCTACTAAAAATACCAAAATTAGCCGGGCATCGTGGTGGGCGCCTGTAGTCCCAGCTACTTGGGAGGCTGAGGCAGGAGAATGGAGTGATCCCAGGAGGCGGAGCTTGCAGTGAGCCAAGATCACGCCACCGCACTCCAGCTTGGGCAACAGAGTGAGACTCTGTCTCAAAAAAAAAAAAAAAAAGTGTACATTCTCTTGCTTTTGACTGAAAAGTTTTGTACATGTCTGTTAAGCTTAGTTAGTCTGTAATACGGTTTGCATGTCCATGTTCTG